TCTGATGGTTAACCCATTCAGTCGACCCCCTTAATCTATATTAGCTTCTAATCATGTTTACAAAGACAGAAATGCCCTTACTTAAGTGTGGGGCAGAGTAACTCTAATAACACAGCCACATAAGCAAGTTACTTAATAAACAGAAGAAGACTAMACTACCCCTATTCGACACATCTTAACAACTTAAAAAAAATTTCTTACTATTTTCTAATGATTAAACTCCACTAGATCTTGTTTTCATAGGTGAAAGAAGCACTTTTTGATACATGCATTGTAAAAAAATTATTATGTCAATTAAAAAAACAAAGTAATACTAATATCCAAATTTGGCAACCAATCTTGTCCACATATCAGATCTTCAACAACGTTTGGAACAAGGCAACTACGTCTTGTACAATTAATCTACCACCTATAGAGAATGCCGACTATGATGCAACTGTAGAAATTGGAATCATCAATATATCTTATGTCATCTTAGAAAGTATTGGAAGCATTGGACTGTTCACTCTCCACCAATTTAAGATATTGAAGTCTTGATTTCTAGGAAAAAGTGAGTCATCCAAATTTTGATCTAAATCTAATTTTTGGCATTGCCATTGACTATCAAGGCATTCATTTAAACACCAAATATCAAAACATCTGAATGTTTGATCATTTTCCCCACTTCCTCTTCCATCTCCAGATGATTTATCATTGGAAACCCTATCTCTAACAGTTGAAGGACTACCACAACCCACACATCCTCCTCTCTTCTCCTCTTATTTTTCTGTTATTTCTCGGGTGAAAACACTTCACATGGAGTGATTGGAAGTCTCATGTATGGCATTTGAAATTTTACAAAAAAGAATATTGTAAACAAAATATTTATGAATAGAACAAATTTGCATGTAAACCTATATATTTGTTGATTCCTGTACTATCTACTCTGTCCATAAGGATGGTAACATTTGATAACTATCTGAGCTTCTCCGTTGGATGCTAGCTTACTTCATAATCTTGTAGTGTGGTGGTACTGCATTGATGCAAGTTACAAAGGATTGTGTGATAAAGAAAGGAAGGGAAAAGAAAAGAAAAGAGGAGAAGAGGAGAAGAAGAGAACAAGAAGAGAATGAGAAGTATTTTTTAAGAGAATGAGGTGTGTTACTGTTCACACCCATAAACTTGATATTTGAACATAATGAATAAATTACAAAGATGCCCATAACTAGGCTCCCTAATACAATAACATATAAAAGGAAAAAAATTCCCTTACACTCTCAACAATGTTAATGGTTATTTCAATTTTTAACTTTATCATATTATTATTTCTGTAGGCACTCAGATTATGGTCAAGTGAGCTAAAGCTGGAAAGGCAATTGGAGAATTCAAATGCTGAAATCACCTCATACAAGTATTGTTGATGTTTTAGTGTCAGTTTGTGCTTTTTGCTCCTGTATGCCTTTATGTTTACTTGATTATTATTTTCCTGTGAACTGAACTATTACTTAAATGAGAATAGGATCATGGTTTCAAAGTTCATTGAGAAAAACATTTGGTACTGTTTGCATATGTAATCTAGGCTGTCATCATTCCTTCCAAAGAAAAAATAACTTTATGTGGAAAAAAAATTATCAGTACCATCTACTGTACCCTCCATTTAGATTTTTTTTTTTTTGTATTTTTTGAGATATATGTTACTGTGTGGTAGATACCCTCCATTTATAATTTTCACCTTTATATGTTCTGTGGTATTAAATACTGCATATCGAAAAATCTAATGTGGTTGTCTATCTTCTTTTGATATTCAATAGGATTTCACTGCTGTTAGAACTGTTAGCTGTTTGAAACCTTAGGAAATTCTTTACCTCTCGTAAAAGCTTCAAAATGTTACACTTCGCCTGTTTCTTTTGAACCTTGGTTGAACGGTTAAGTTCATACCTTACTAGAATTCTTGTCTTCTCAACACTCAACCCCAAAATTTTCCTATCTTGATTAATCATTTTTTGAATCCATGGCTGCTTACTCCTTTCCATTGAGTTGGATAGCTCTTCACAATTTATCTTGGATCTTATGGGATAGTAAGGTTTCAGAGATAGTGGATGTAGATTTGTTATAGCTGGTTGAAAGATAGTCATGAGCTGTATTGTTGGGGTATTCTGAGTTGTATTGGGTCTGGATGTTAACATACTCTTTGGATGAAAGATTGGATACAGAAGTTGGGGTATTCTGAGCTGTATTCGGTCTGGATGTTAACGTACTCTTTGGATGAAAGATTGGATACAGAAGTTGGGGTATTCCGAGCTGTATTAGTGGATTCATCCTTCGTAGTATTTCTCTTAATTCCTGATTCTTTTATCTTTTTTGTAGTTAATATCCTGTTGAGTGTTGACATGGCTTGATTTTGGTAAGATTTGTGTAGCCTAGGAATCTTCATTCTTGGTTTTCCATTTACTACTATCCTGTTTTTTTGTGTGTTGTGTCTGGAGAAATGAGGATGGTTTGGTCTCTCTTTAGTTGCAGGTGGGATGCACCTCAGAATGTATCTAGCTTGTTTGGTCCAAACTTTATGAGGCAGCCTAAAAGAAGAGGAAGAATAATGTGGAGGGAAGCAATATTATAGACCATTTGGGAGGAGAGAAATTACAGAATTTTCAAAGGGAAAAACAACTCTGTGGAGGAGATTGTGGATAACATTAAGAGAAGGGTTGCACATTGGTTATAAACAATGGAGACATTCAAGGACTCCTCGATTGATGATGTAGTGAGAGGGTGGGGTGAAGTGGCAAATTCCTCTAAAGAAAAGGATAAGGCTATAATGGAGTGGAAGCCACTGGCATAATCAGAAAGTGAAGTTAAATTTTGATGGAAGTTCCTTGGATAACCCAAGTCCAGCAGGAGTTGGAGGGAGTTTTTAGGGATGCAAATGGCGTAATCAAGGCAATGTATTCAGGCCCTGTAGGAGTGGAAGACTTTGTTGAAGCTGAAGTCATGGCACTACTGCAAGGATTCAGAATAACTAATCAAATAAGATTCAACAACTAGAAGTGGAGGGAGACTCAAAACTAGTCATCTCTAGCAATCCAGGAACATGGATTTCATAGGGAAACATTAAGGGAGATTGATATGTTGGCTAAGGACATGGAAGATACGTTTAAATAGGTTAAAAAATGGCAAATGGAATGACAGATTCTTTGCCCAAGCAAGGGGTTCGTAGGGAACTTTTTCTTTTTTTTTTGGCCTGAATAGTAACGGGGATGAAATATAGTCACAAAAGGGAGGCTAGGGACATCCCTAGCTTTATTGTAGTTTTCTTCTTCTAATTTAATGAAGTTTCCTATTGCTTATGAAAAAAGATTCCATTGTTGATTCAAAACAATAAAGAAATTTGGTGGCATACTTCGGTCTTGCAATAAAATGGAGATTCAGTGAGTGAGAGTTATTTAGAGGTAACCTATATTTTTATTAATATGGCAAAAGAGGTGTACATGAGAGGATGTACTTCGATGAAGAAAATGTGTACTTACAGTCTTCATCCAAAACCAAAAGACTAGTAGGTTGAGCTTCTTTCCCTTCCAGAACAGATCATTCTTCATTACTTCCTCTCTGGTTAATTAACTGGCCAAGGATTTTGTGGATCAGTAAACCCAAAACATTGAGCGGTTCAGCCTGGGATTCATAGAGCATGCTCCTCTGATTGAATGGCTCAACCTCTAAAAACTGCTAGATCCATCTTTTTTCCAATCTAATCTTGAGTTGTAGGGTCTTGGCATATTATGTCTTCTGGTAGCTGTTGCTTTTTCTTCATATCTACCTATCTTTTTAGTTTGGTTCTTTAACAAAATTTCTTGTTATCAATAAAAGTTGAGCTGAAGCTGGTTAAAGAAAAAGGAGGAAGTAAAGTGTCTGTTATTTATTTTTTTGATCAATACATRTCTGTTATTTATCTATAAAAAAGCATCTGTTGTTTACTGAAAAAAATCGACACTTGAATTTCTAAAACAATGTTTTAAACTCAAATGGATTTCATGCTGAATTCCTAAGGTGGGCCCTGGTTGGGCTCCTAGGCCTGCAAGTCAGTTGGGTCATAAATGCTCATTTCATATTTTAACTTGGCTGAAAGGGTTTGTAATCGAACTATGTTCTGATATGAATTCAGCAAGAGAAAAGAATAGAGGAGAAGAGAAGAGAAACAAAAGAGAATGAAAAAAGGTTGCAGTTAGTTGCAGTCCTGTTGCCCCATTGCTTTTATTTATATTTAGCAAATAAAACATCAAAATACAGTGACTAATACCCCTGCTGCCTATATAAGAAAAAGAAAAATAACAACAAACAAACAAATAACATAAACATAAGGAGGGACCACAAAAATCTACTGTACTATGTCTCTACAATCCCCCTCAAGTTGGGAATAGATATTGGTCATTCCTAACTTGCATAAATCTGTCTCCGACTTGACTTTTATAGCTGCTTTGGTGAAGAGATCAACAAACTGCATATCAAAGGCAACATAGGGAAGACACTTTTTGAGAAGAAACTCTCTCTCTGATAAAATGTTGGTCAACTTTGATATGTTTTGTTCTATCATGCTGTATTGGATTATTAGGCAATATTAATGGTGGCCTGGTTATCACAATACAATATCAAGGGCCTTTCATATTCAATGTCAAACACCTCAAGTAGGGATCTCAACTATAACACTTTAGCTGCACCATTATCCATGAATTTATACTCTGCCTTGACACTGGAATGGGCAACAACATTCTATTTTTTACTCCTTGAAACAAGATTTCTTCCAACAAAGGCACAATACCCTAAGGTAGATCTTCTATCACTTGGCTCAATCAACATCTATGTATACCTCTATTTTCATATAACCATTATTTTTGAAGAGTATGCCTTGGCCTGGATATTTCTTCAAGTAGGCAATGTATACCTCTATTTTCATATAACCATTATTTTTGAAGAGTATGCCTTGACCTGGATATTTCTTCAAGTAGGCAAGGATCCTTTCAACTGTAAGTAGATGGGTTGTTCTGGGAGAACACATATACTAACTAACAACATTGATAACATAAGAATTGTCAGGTTGTGTCAAACAAAGATAAAGAAGTTTCCCAACCAATGGTTGAAAGATAGTTTGTCTCAAGAGGCTCACCACCTTTTGTTGATATCTTATGATTCTGCTCAATAGGTGTGTCGGTAGGCTTAACTCTTAACTTTTCAGTTTCATCCAATAGATCAAGGACATATTTCCTTTGGGGGATAAAAGTGCCATGTCTAGACCTAGTGTAAATCATTAAGGTCTTTCACTTCAAACTCCTTGTTAAGTAGTACTGAATTCAGTAATGTCACTACCTGTCACCACAATATCATCAACATACATAGCAAGAAGAGTCAAGGAAGAAGCTTCTTTCTTGGTAAAAAGGGTGTGTGATCTAATTGGGTTTGTAGATAGCCAAACTTCTCTAAGGCAAGTCTAAATCTATTAATCCATGCCCTTGGAGATTGCTTTGGACCATATGATGTTAGATAATGTATATGCCCTCAGCTCCAACTAATGTATTATACATAATTTATTATTAATAACCATTTATTTCATGTGTGATTTGGGTTGTTTTCCTAAATTGCACTTGGTTCATAATGGTGTTATGTACGAGACCATATAATTAATTTAATATGGGTTTAAATCTTTACAACTAGTGGATACACTTGGAGAAGTCTATCCTAACAAGGTTGTCATTCTCACACTGCCCAAGTTTGTGGAGCAGTGGGTCTTAGCTGGGTTGTGACCTAAGGTGTGAGGGTGAGTATTTACAAGAAACATTGAATTGGACCAAATCTAGCATGTTCCTGGACTTTATGATAGGTGAAACAACTAGGTGTTGCTCTTAACCCCTAGACTTGATATTGATATCAAATTGAGTATTAGACTTGTCTGTCTTTGATATGCTAACTAGTGAAATCCTTTTGGGTATGTTGGGGCATTCAAGGATGGTATGTCAACTGATGATCAACATGATAGGATATGCTACTATGTCAGGACATAGAGAATACTTTGTACAACTTCCTCCTTCGATTCCTGAATCTATCAATAGTAGGATTATTTGAATCCTCAATGAAGGATCTAAGTGGTGTTGGAAGTTGGACAATATGTCATAAGGACAAAGAGGGAAAAAGTCCTTCCCTTAATGTGGTGTCAAGTATTTCTAGTAGAGATATTAATTGCAAGTGATTATTTGGCTCGCATTGACTTGATTATCCTATTAATGGGCTGAATCAATGGACCCCATTCGACCAGCCCCTTTATTAACTCTTTCTAGCGCTCTTCCAAATTGGTTTTGGGTCAAAAATCTTGCCCAAAATTGTGATAAAGGTCGGACCCTTGCTGCTGTAACTTCTGGAGAAAGAATC